GTGTATGTACTTGCATGTATGCATGTGTGCGTGTGTGCCTATGTGCGCGCGTATATGCATGTGTATGTGTATGTATTTGTATGTTTATGTGCATGTGTATGTGTACGTGTATGTGTATGTGTGCGTGCGTGTACGCATGTGTGCGTATACGCTGCATGTTTGTATGTATGTGTGTATGTGTATGTATATGTGTGTTTTATCAAGAAAGGCAGGCTTTAAATGCTAATGATGTGACATCTGCCTCTCAACTAGGACTTGTGCCATTTCGATTATAGGCGGAAAGCTGCCGATACTAAATTGAAAACTTCAAATTTATCTCATATTGCTTGTAAATTTTTGATAGAACATTTTAAAAATTATAGACGAAAATAGAACTTTTATTTTTTTATTCAATTTTCAAAATTATTATCCAATGTTAGAAGACTTTAAATTTGTTTCATATAATCATTAATTAATTCTTGTTTTATTTTTCTTTTTTTTTTGGAATATCACAAAAATGATTTATGCATTTGTTTTGCAAATATAATAAAATGTCATCAACCAAAATTTCCTTTTTTTTTTGAAATGTGGATATTATCTAATATTGTACTTTTTTAATTTAATGAATAATTTTGAAATATTTCATCATCAGCGTTATTGATGATGATAACTGTTATACTTCAAAAAAAGAAACAAAAAAAAATCTGCAACTGTTTGAAAATTTAAAATTTTAAATCTTTATAAAGAAAAGAATCAAATTTTCAATTTTCCTCTTCAATGTTTATTGAATGTTATTGATAGTATAATTAATTAATATGCTACATTTAGGCTTATAATTTTTTATCGTTGTAAATTTTTTTTTTTATTTTTTTCTTTCGTTTTTTTTTTCACAGTAACATAAAAACGAAATGAAGAATTTTGATTGGCTGTGTTCGTATTAAAAGTGCTTATAATATCCATCATATCTTCATGAAATTGCAATTGTAAGAAGAAAATTCATTTTTTCGTTTTCAAATCCCTTTGCAAATCTCAAACTTATTTCAAAAATAAAAAAGTAAACTGGAAAAAAATTGTTTATTTCTTCATCACATATAGGTGCTTCCTCAATTTTCATCGTTTAAAAAATCTTTGAAAATAGCTGTTGTTAAGTTTTTTTTTTTTCGGACAGCTATTTTTAACAAATAGATTTTAATTATAGTAATTAAATTTAATCTTAAAAAATTTTCTAATATAACTGAGTGTTCTTTTTTTTAAACCGTTTTTCAAATACATGTAACGATGAAATTTTATTTCAGAAGAGATAAACGGTGTTTTCGTGAAGTCATTGGTGCCTGATTCAAGTGCATTTCATTCAAGAAAGATACAATTAAATGATCTCATTTTTGAGGTCTATATTTCAATTCGTTTTTTTTTTCTTCCATTTATATATTATTAACTGAAATAATTCCATTTGAAATTATTTTGCATCAAACAGATTAAAATGAATTAACTGAATGGATCATTTTTATTTCTATTTTTTTTTTTTTGCGAACATTTTTCTAACTATCAAATTTCGGAATTACAATAGCATTTATACAAATTTGCTGATTTCAATTTGTGTAATTGATAATTTCAATCCGTTTCAAAAGAAAATTTACAATATATTATTGAAAAAATAAACAAATTGATAGAAGAAATTTGTTGATATTCTTTTACTTCTTCGTATCAATAATAAATATGCAAAAATTAATATGGAATTTTAGGAAATTTAATTTTCAAACTTAATTTGGTAAATTTCCATCGAATTTTTCTTTTTTTAATTTATTATTTTGAAATAAATTAAGGAAAAATATTTGATTTTTATTTTATATTATATATTTGAAAAGTAATTTATGACTTTCCATATAGTTTTTTTTTTTTTTTGATTTTACAGCTATCGAAAAAGCATTCTTCTGCCCATTGTGATTGATTAATACCTAAGCGTTTATTTGAATTTATTTCATTTTCCAGCCTTAAATAAATTCCATTTTCTTCCTCGTCACTCAAATATCCTTTTTGTTCATTTTTTTTTTCGTGCTTCCACAAAACGAAAACGACAAAAATTCAAAGTCAATCAGTTTTATTCTTCAACTAAACAAATAAGCAAAAAAATTGACGTATTTTTGCAATGTTCAAATAACAATTCGCACTTCTTTCCCATTCCATTTCTTTTCAATTTTGCTTTTCTCCAAAAAAAAAAGGACAAATTTTACTTTTTATCGTTATTTTGATAAAAGAAGTTGGATGCATTTTTGATTCCTCATTTTGTTGTATTTAAAAAAAAAAAACATTTTAAAAAGGAAAAATTAAAGTGTATAGCTTAATTATTGTTTTCATTTCAAAATTTCATTTTAATGATATGTGAAAAAAAGAATTTTCTTCTTAACAATATATCACAAAAAGGATTTGAAAAAGGGTGCATTAATTAAGGAAAAGATGAAAATGAAAGATTGAAATCCTTTGATTAATTAATATTTGTTGAATGATTATTATTTTCAATTATATCTTTAACATATTATCATCAATGCATTTTCATTGGTTAATTTGCATATTTTTCGCTTCAGTCATGCTTCGGTCGTTTTATTATCAATTATATCACTGATATTTTATTATTATTGCATATTCATTTTATTTCAACCATTTGATGTCTTTTTTGTACATATAATAATTTAGTAATTACGGTACACAAATTAGTTTTTGAAATTGTGAAAGCAGTGTTCATTAGATGATGCTTATTTCTATCCCAAATGACAGATAATTTTAGCTGCGCTAATAGAGAATTAAAATCATTTAAATACGAGAATGGTTATAATTGTGAAGATTAAAGATTAATTCAAAATGTTTCATGAAATTTGCCCTCAGTTACGGCAAAATCGAACATGAATGAATTATAGCCAAGTAGGATTAGACGAAATATTTTAACGATTGATGCAATCTCTTTGAACTTTGACCGAATTCATCTTGCCTTGTCAGAACATATAAGCTGACAATCTTAAATGATCAGTGAATAGAAGGACTCGGCTTGTTTTTTTTTTTTTTTNAATTCAATGTAAATGATTCAATTTTGGAACTTTTAAATAAAATTTATCAGTCGAATATTGAAAATTCTATCAATGAAAGGGCACAAGGAAAGAAAATGAGAGAGGAAAATCATTTTGCTTATATTTAATAATTTTTGTGATAGAATAAATTCCTAATTCCTGCATTTTCAAATTTCAAATTGTCAGATTAATTGGGAGTATTTTTTTTTCATTTCACTTATTTTATTGTATTTCAAAGTATTATTCTAATAATATTCACATTTCTTGGAAAATGTGATAATTTTTAATAATTTTCCATCGTTTTCTTTCGGTAACAAATAATTTATCAATTACCGCTAATTATTAGACATTTTTTGTCATACTTTGCTAATCGAACGAATTGTAGCACTGAATTTATACTAAAAAATATTAGCATCATCTTTTTTTGATTTAATAATCTCAAATTATGCAAATAGTAATAAAATCTTATATTGTAGTTCTAAAATTGCGTATTATATTGTGATTTTATTAATATATCAGAAAATAATTTCCTTTTCAATGAAATTAAACATTTCCAAAAATTTTTAAATTTCATTTCTTTTTTTAAAAAGAATTTTGTTAGAATTTTACATGCATATGTATGATTTAATAAAAAAAATGTGGGGAAAAGATGCAAATTATAATGTATTTGAAATTTTCAACGATGGAATTTTTAATGCAAAATTCCTTATCATTCGATGCCAATCAATCAATAGTTGATAATTTTATGCACAAATATGGTAGTACAATATTAAATTTTACATGTCAAGGA